TCTTTTATCTTTTTGGTTTTTAATTTCTATTTTATTATTATTTTTTGTAGATTTTAAAGGATATGTTGTATACTGGGAACTATAACGGAGAGGTACAGGCATGGAAGGCGGACTTAACTACTATATTAGGGGTTAGAAAATAGACAAAGAAGTAGAGATGGAACAGAATCAAACCTCACCATCATCGGACACGTGGAGCTTAATTGGCAATGTTGATCTTTATATGAATGTGTATATAAATTGGCTTCTATTTTCGTTTTTGGCAGTTGAGAAAAACCTTAAGAAGTATCATGTCTTAACTGGTGGTGGTGTAACATATCCAAATAAGACATATCTTGTGTAGTGTTCTCCAATCAGAGCAGTGTTTTCTAGAAATTGCATAAATTTTTTCCGGGTACATCAGGGTTTTCTGGAATTTGGTATATAAAACAGTTTTATGGGCCATTCTTACCCGATAAGAGCATACACTGGTAGAATGAACCGTATCGAAAATCGAAAATGGCGTCATCTTGTGAAGAGTAAATTCAAACTATCCGACGTACGACAGAATCGTACTCGTGGAAAAAATTCGGTATTTTATAGTACTCATGAAATGTTTATCATATCAAACGTTGAAAGACAAAATATCCTTTATATATATACAATACGAAGGTCTTAATTACAGAGACCGGACGTAAATTAACCGATAGAGTGTTATAATGGAGACTCATCAATTTTCTTGTGTTTGGGACTATAATTGTGAATGTATAATTTGTTTGATTTCATTCTGATATAGTCATGTTTTTTTAATTTAATTTTGATAAATGTTTCAGCCTGTAGAAAACGCATGCAATAGCACAAGTGCATGTAGCATTTTTAACTGTATAAATTACAGGTATGTTCTGAGTGTGTTATTTTGTACAAACTACCAAAGATTTTCAATGCGATCATTAGCTCATTTTTAGAAACATGTTTTTTGATGCAATCCACGTTCTTGTGAATATTTTTTATTAATCTATTTAACTGTTCATTTTTATCGATTATCAGAAATCCATATAAGAGATGATATCGTTAAGAAAGAGCATGTTTTAAAATTTATTACACGATGGCAAATATAATCATTTTAAGATAAATGAGCGAAGTCTGCGGTATGTTCTGAGAGACCTTAAATAGTCATAACACACCAAAATTTAAACTGATTATGTGTACTTACAAAACTCTTAGTCTATTTAATGAATGAAGGATATATATAAGTAATTTGTTAAATTCAGGTCTCAAGTTCCAATTACAATGTAGTTTGAATTTTTTGGACAATAACAAAACTGATCTATTTCGTCTCCGGGAAGCATTAAAACTAAATCATTAAAAACAATACACATTGTCCAAATAATACCCAAAGTGTTGCTAAAAGAGAAATCTTCTTGAGACAAGTCTTTCTGTCAGAGTAAACATTAAATGATGATTTACATTTATTTTAAGTCATGTTTTCACATTGTATGCACGAGAATTTCATTTCTACTTTATTATCATCACGAAAATGTAACATTCTTGTCTAATTGTATCATGATTTTATTTATTTCCCTGTCTTTGTTAAAATGTGTCTTTTTTAAAGTGAGTTTGCAATCATTCATTATATCATGACCTATAGCAATATGAACAATGCTGAGGTTAAAGAGTCATTCATTTAATATCATTTAATAAAGTAGATCATGTAATATTGAAAGCTATCATCGATCACTCCTGTTGAAAATACATTGATAACTGTGTCGATATCAATTAACTTATACTTCAATAGGCAATATCTTCAGCCATCATCTTCAATGTGTTAATGTGTGTTGACAATATAAGTTCAAAGAGGTAATTGTTGTTAGCAATAAATTGTATTTTGTGGTAACCCAAGTGTGTATGGGTTTTTAATTAACCTAGATTAAGCAGAATTATTTGGTCCCAAAACACACGTTGTATGTTGAGTTTCTAGCTAGTACCCTTATCATTATTGCCCTTTCAATTTAACACATGGCCAATTTTGATACCGATTATAGAAAGGTTTGTAAAAACTTAAGTACTCAAATATATGTCCGCTTTGCGCAAATAGTAATTACCTATGATCATACCAAGCCTGTGGAATTACCTGTAGTATTACAATATGTAGTTTACATATGATTCGTTTGGATTGATCGATTTCTGCATACTCCTAGGTTTCCTATAAAGGTATAGCATTTCTTTTTAAATGCTGAAACTACAATGGCTGCTTTTCTCATTCTGATGACACATTATTATATTTCCCTAGATTTTAATGTGAACAGTAAATGTATCAATTGATTAAGTGTAATTGCCATCACATGCCACTCTTTCTGTTAGAGTATTTAACAGATAACACAATATATGTCATTTACAGCTAATTAGCCTATACAGAACTTGCAGCTGTGTAAACTACAACTTGAAGAATTTACCACTAGAGATTCAATATATATAAAACCACTTAATTATACTGCTTGTTTGTCTACTGGGTTTATCGCCCGTGATCAGCCATTGGCTACCTTACAGAACAAAATAAGGGATGCTCGTCGCATGCCACCCACAGCAATTAAGGATATAGTTTATTTTAAGGACACAAACATGTCAGAAAGTCTATTTCTCAGCTTCCTGATTACTGATGGAATACAAAATGGACGAAATGTTGATCCGTTTTATGCATCTGTAGGTTTTTATGTATGATTCATCCATGTTTATCCTTCAAATATGTTAATCTGTGTTACATTCCGTTCTGCCAAGAAGGCTTAATTTCAAAGGTCACATTATGTAAAGGGCTTTTGCAATGCGTACAAATAATGTTGTTACGGTACGGAATTAACGTACAGCAAATAAAACCCAACAGCTAGGTTAAAATTCAATTTAATAACAACAAATAAATTATATACAGTAAAATTACAAATATTGCGACGGTGTTCAAAGCTAACTACTAATAAATCAAAAGTCAGAACTTATCTTTCAGTGGAAATCCTCCAACTCCAGAAGAATTCACAACAGAATGTCCAGAAAACAGGGTTACCGAAGAATAATTCAACAATTGTTTCCATGATGGGTATATATAAATGCAAGTTCACAAGGCACTATCACTGAATCACCGTAAAAGTCCACACTTCTCAGACTGAAGGCGTTAATACTTCAAAAGGCTGATGAGGCTCAGTTCCACCAGGTTTATATACACTAAAGATTTCTGGAAAGTTCCTTTCGAGGTGATTCTAGACCAGCAGGTACCTAGCTTATTTACATGTGTCTTTATAAACTTTCAGTTTATTTTTGTTCTACATAGTATTAATATGGATAAGATAGCATTCGTCGTTCGTTGTTAAAATAAATACGATCACGACTGGTTATGGCTCTCATACAATAATTCATAGTTAGTAATATATGTTGGGGATTTACTTTTGCTGTATTCGCAAGTGAAATAGCCCAAACCGGACATTGGCGAAAATATATGCCCCGTGAAATTAAACAACTATACAGTATTTACAAATAGCTCGATGTGCTTACAACACAATCAATAAAACGCACGCACGCACACACACACAGAGAGAGAGAGAGAGAGAGAGAGAGAGACAGAGACAGAGAGACAGACAGACACGCACACACACACGTCCTCACAAACATATAAATAATTTGGTGATTTCAATTGAATTAATACACACACAAAATACTGATATAGAAAGGACCTAAGCAAACGAAGGTGTTTAGGTCGCTAATTCGTTACAAATATTATTGTAATAAGGTGACACACTATATCTCGGTACCTACGTCCCAATATGTTTGATTTATTGTAACACATTGACACACAAATTGCCGTCGAGTATGCCCCAATTTGGAAATAGTCTTTGTATGAAATTGACATTTTAATCATGTCACATACGTTCCACTTTGCTTCAAACATCATTGTGACAAACTGGGTTGTTACAAATTGGCACGCTACATAGATGTTTTAATGGTCGTGTTTATTAAACAATTTAAACATCGGTGAGTGTATCTTGTTACACAATATATTCTAAATATAAATAATGAACTAAATATATTCCTCTTTATCAATCGAACCTCTTTTCCTGATTAATACAACAATTACAAGAACTTCAAATCTTGAATCGACAATTAAATAATGCTTTGACTTGATTAAGAATACATTTTATATTAAAAATGTCAAAATAAAAACATTCTTGGATAGGAAGTATCAATGTCTTCATATCAGTCAGAGTTTTATCTTCAGATTCATTCTTTTAAAATTAGATCGTCTTCCTTTGTATTTACACATGAAGGCATATTTAACGTATATCATTTTATTCAGCTTGTAAAGAATGTTAAAGATTAATAGAAAAAAAATCTTTTCAAAGATTGCACGTTTACTTATGGCAGACGTCATGTGATACATATTTTCTCGTCATGCGTAAGATGGAATAGGTAGGCATTCAAAGAAACGTCAACCATAACAAAACACAATATTGTTTTCCTGAATATAAATAGGGTTTTTATCATCGTTTAAAAATTGAAATGCTTAAAAAGAGACATTACATATACTCTCATATTACGTTCTGATGTGCGATACTACAACAAGCGTTTGAAGTTAAATCTTACTTCAAGTTAGAATAAAACATATATGCATGGCCGTAACGATTTATCCCAAACTTTATAGACACATTCACATTTTTGCTAAAGAACGACAGCTTGAACACGCTTTAATGTCAATACTCACGGCAGGGTAACGTCATCACATTTTGTGATGTAACCATGTCACCATGTGACAACTCAAAAACGTCATCAGTTTTCGCTCACCTTTCATGGACCATTGATAACGTTGCTATGAATACAATTTACAATGCAACAAAATGTTAAATATGTTTTACCCTCGGGTTGAGATATTTTGGAAAAGTTTGGATTTCTGTCAGTCGATAGCTTAATGACACTTTTGCAGTTGTCCTTCGATTTAAACAGCAACTTATGTTTCAGATTCACATAATATCGTATGATATTTACTACAGACAAAGCATCTTCAAAGCATCCTCTTTTACTTTGTTTTTGTCCGGTTTCCCCGAGCTGAGTACAGGTATTGACTCAAACTGTAGATAATACGTAGGGGCATCACCAGTAATATTGTCACCAAGTCTTTGCCTGCAGTGCAGCTCAACATCCGTCATAGTCACATATGTGTTTTGGTCTAAAACAACGCATGCACAAACGTCCTCGTACAGCCGTTGATCTGGAATAGCAACAACGGAAACCTTTTTTACCTCTGGTATTTCAGCGATGCATTCTTCAACATCTCCCGACATTACTTTACGAGTTAATCGTTTGATGACGCTTTCTTCTTTGCCTTTTATGAAAAGGTTGCCATCCATTTTCATTACTCCTATATCACCGGTTTTCATCCACCCGTCGGTAAAAGACATTTGTTGCAGTTTTGTTGCGTTTCTGTATCCTTTCAGCATCCAGGGACATTTGACATAGATTTCGCCGATCTTACCCCGAGGTACCACATAGAAATCTTCGTCGATAACTTTCAACTCTACTCCGTCAAACAAACTACCAACTTCACCAACATCTGTTTTGTTCGTCATATAAGTGCATGTTACAATAGATAATTCAGTTGAACCATATCCTATCACTAAAGAGTCACAGAATTTGCCGCAAACGTCAGCAATCTGTGAAGCCACTATTTGACCTCCTGTGACAATTGTGTTCAGACAATGGTTGCTTTTCATGATTTCTTGTTCGTTGGCAAGAAGATCTAGTAAAGTAAATGGCAATAACAGAGCATATGTACATTTTTCTTCCACTATGTTCTGCCATAGACCAATCACACCAGTTTCCTTGAGACTAAGCCGTCCATCTCTAAACACACGGGTGTCGCCATGAATCAGATTATAAATGCATGTTCCTCCAATCCAAGCGAAAGGTCTGTCGTTGTACATCGCTCCGCAACCTGCGACGATATCAAGACCCCTAGAAAACATAGTAGAGGAAGAAGTGTTCACCAAACCAAAGTGAGAATGTTCTACCATTTTCGGATGACCGGTAGAACCCGAGGTCATAAAAACGATTGCTACTGTCTCGGGGCATATCTGCTTAGGAAGAACAGCGTTCCTTGCCGCTATTTCATTTCCAATGGTTTCAACGTCAGGCATATCTACTCCAGAGTATTTCTTCAACATCACGACGAATGGTTCTCCTGATTCCTCGAAACCAACAGGAACTTTCGTAGATGGTGTTTCTTGTTTTTGCAGTAGTATTAAATCATTGAGCAATCCCTCGTCGCCGTCAGGATCAAGTAGAACTGCCATGCAATCGGAAGTTTGTAATAACTGGTAAATTTCCTTTGTTGATCCACAAGGCTTCGATAAATGCACCGACACCGCACCTGTCATGAGAATCGCGAGCTCACCAACTATCCACTCTATTGAGTTAGGTCCTAAAATACCAACTGAGTTACCAACCTTTACGCCCATAGACACTAGAAATTTTGCAACCTTTTCGGCCTTGCTTCGCAAAATGGCGTATGTAACCGCTCGTCTTGACCCGTCGGGAAGGCGATGAATACATATTTCCTTGTCTGGCAACTCGTCGGCCTTCTCATTGAAAACGTCTATGATGGATTTGTAAACAAACGGATGACATTGTGGATTTGATATATAACTGAGTCCGGCCATTTTCGTGAAACTGAAAACAAAAAGTTTCACAAGACATAAACCTTTTCTGATTTTTAACTAAATTCAATATTCTGATATTTTATGATCAGCTGAGAATAAAAAAAAATCCGATTTTTTTTTAATCTGTCAACTGTACATAGAATGGAAGAGGACACAATGCATTGCTTTCCTTTAACGTAATCACAATGAAAACAATCTGTCAACATAATTATAATGCAAATTCCCTATAAGTAGGACAAAATGAGAAGAAATAAAAGATTTACACAATACTCATGAAAAAGTACGAAGAGAGTAAGACCATGATTTCTGGGATTGTCTGCATTTTCCTCTTTTTCAATAATACCGAGCACGTAAATCTTAATCAATCTAAGAAAGGATAATGTCGAGATAATCGACTGATGTAGAAGAATCTGTCGAATCTTTGATTTTCAGTTCTGGTGGATATAAACGATGGACGAACAAACCTCTTCTTATTTTAAAGATAGACGTCATCAATAAATCTAAGAATGAAAAGGAAGGACTAGGCAAGGTCTTTATTGTCTATCTGATTAAACTCTTCTTCAAAACCCGTCTCGTATGAAAAAGCCAAGTCAGCCAACACAGGGGAACGAACAGGCTATAGGTATGTCTGTAGTTTATCGGAAGATTTTACTATCAAATGTGACGAATATGTCTTGAATTACTTCTTTCCTTGTTGATGCAAGATTTTTGATTATGAATTCGGATGAATAACTGGTAAATATATGTAGGTTCATTTATGCTCTATTTTACTATATATGTCCTTTACAGATGCAAGAACATGAAAGTTATATGAAGTTGAATTTAAGAAACCTGTAACCTGGACATGTTATAAATATGCAGTACATATGAGCCGAGTGTCAATACACTGTATTACCCCACACCTTCATTAACACTACTGAATATATGTTTATTATTATCCAAATACCGCGAAAACACACAATTCAAACCTGATTAAAATACATTTAATATGTTTTATGAATCATGTTTGATATTTGAAAGATAATAAAACATTTGTAGAATTATACTTACGATAATAAATTTAGATGTAGCCTCCACAAACTGACCGCGGACTGATGTTAACGAAGATCAAAATGAATAAATTTTCATAAGTTAAGGAAATGTATGGACACACGGAGTGGCGATAAAAAAAGATAACACGAAAACCAACAGGGTATATGTATATTCACGTTCCCGGACTATGTGTCATTTTTTAAGTTCGAGATTGCTGAATTTTATTATTTTTAACAACATGTATATTTATTTTTGACATGGAAACTTGCAGCAGAATCTGCTTATTCAAAACTGACATCCTATTACTATGGACACCACTGTTTTAACAGAGTTTTTAAAAGGAAATACTGACCCCTGTCGAACCCCAACAAAACTGACCAAAATCGAAATACTTATCTTTTGGCTTGTAAATGACACCTTTACCTGTTCTTACTTTTCCATAAATTTTCATCAAAAGACATTAAGGGCTAAATAATTTGTAAAGATTTTTAGTGAACTAAAACTGAAAGTACATGTTTGAGTTCTTTGAAAAATTATCTTAAGTGAAAAAAATGTAAAGAAAAAAAAAAAAAAAAAAAAAACCCATACATTTAAAAAATTAATATAAATTTTTATTTGATTTCTTTTTCAATATTTTGATACATATTTACCACCATATTGTCAAACTGATAATTGTTAATATAGTATATCATTGGTAATGTACGCTGTGGTTTTCATACTTCTTCCAGATGAAAAACTGAACCTTGCCATACTCCTGTGGTTACGACAGTATATGGATCGAAGCACAGGCCCCTGTGGATCTTTGATTTTTTAAAATCCTACTTCATGCTTAGTCACTCTAGGTGCTACAAACACCACCCACTTTTATTTGATGTGTTGGGCAAAATTCCATTGTTCTTGAAAGATATCCTTTGTATATAAAGGTGCTTTCACTTGTGTGTCTTTTGTACAATCTCCCTTGTTTCTAATACGTATCTAAACCAGCTATGGTTATATTTAGTGATATTCCGTTTATCAACCTGGTAGAAACATTTAACGATTTCTAGAAGTACGAAATAGCTGTATGATTTAATTCTAATCCTTTATTTGGTTCAGCTGTCCATTTACTTATTTTGTATCATTTGTACAATTTCATCTGAAATTAATTGCATTTAGAAGACTAGTGATTATATTCGGAATACATCTATATCCTTCGGAACACATCTATGTCCTTCGGAATATCATATTTGTCCTTCGGAATACATCTATGTCCTTTGGAATAACATATTTTTCCTTCGGATAACACCTTTGTCCTTTGGAATACGTCTATGTCCTTCGGAACACATCTGTGTTCTTCCAAAGACATTTATGTCATGTTTTGTTTTCCATATAAAACATTTCATGTAAAGCAGGTGAGATTATTCCATCTATCTAATTATACCACACCGGTTTTATCAACTTTAAACTTATATAAACAACAATAACAACGGAGACAAGTTATGTTCCTGCATGTGCCTAAATATTCATACATGTTTATTACGTGTGTGTGTATAATAAACAAGTAAGATCATAAAGATACGTGACTAGCTATAATTTGAGAGAAAAAAGTAGTGTTTTGCGGTTTCTAATCTAAAAAGCAGGGTCAATCGATAGGGATTTAAATCTTAAAATTTTGTTTAATGCTTGCGTGCTTTTGACACTTCTTAAGTTCCACATTATTGATTAGGGAATGGTTTGTTAGGTAGGTATAAGTGTCGTTTGTGTATATAAGAGATGAATATCTAGGCCTAAGGATTCTGATTCCTCCCTATATCAACAACAGAGCGATAGTTATGGATTTTTAAAGCTTTCTTTATTCATCAGTATTTTCATTCATTTTACCAACAACTTTACTTTCCAATAGTTTTTCTCTAGGCTTGTCTTTGCAAACCAATTGTGCTCGTAAATCTCGCGAGAGTTTTCTTTGTAGTAGGTTTAATACGACAACTCAAGAGAGATTCCGTATATTGGAATATGTGACAAGATGGCGCATGGTGGTGGAAGGTGTTGACGGAGCTCTGACCAAGTTAGGAATATTCTGAGCTGTACAGCGTGGTGAGGTGGTAGTTAATTCATCCTGTGAACTTTTTAGGGGGGCATTGTTAACATTCTCAGCCGCGGCCTATGAGTGTTATAGAAACCAGCTAGAAACCTTCTACTCTAAGAACGATCAAAGTATTCGTGTCCAAAAGAACTGTATTAATGATAATGAGGGTTTATGCACACAGGAAACATGGAAAATCCTTATCGGCTCGGCCACAGTTTTAGATCACAGTTACCCAGACCAGGATGATCACGCCCCGTGTTCGTTTACCATAAATCTGTATTATACGTCATGCAAGGTGTTGTCTAACGGTAAGATACACACATGTTTGTTGACCATCTCAAAAGTATCATAGAAAACATAGTCGCTCCTTTGCAAAGATGAACACCTACATTCTGCAGCAGTGCATTGAAGCCCAGACAAAACTTTTTCCCAAGAAATCTAAAACGCCGAAGAGATCCGCAAGTGACAATATTACAAAACCTCTACCAACCCATATGTCACCCAGACCTATGATAGATCTCCAATCATCACTTAGTCAACATTTGTCGAATAGAACAGATATTGTAGCAAAGGCACAGACCGACACCCCACCCACAGTCCCCACCGTTACATTGTCGGTGAGTGATGATGAGAACAATGATAATTCCAGCCAGGTAGTACAAACAACTCTGAGTATTGAACCCCCAGCTCCACCTGAAATACCGGTACAGATCGATGACGGTATTAACATCACAGTTAGTAAAGAAGTAAAACAGGTGCGGCAGCAAGAGCAAAAACTGAAAAATTGGGAAGACGAGCTAAAGAAAGAACGAGCAGCTCTCAGCCATGATCAGAAGAATGTTTCGAGGCTGCAGGCCCATCTTGTCAAGCTTGAGTCAAAAATAAAAGATCTGGAAAATACATATAACATAATACGAATGCAAAATACAGCGTTAATGGAGAAATCTGACGATCTTCGTATCCCCAGCCACAACAGTCACAGAAGTAATAAAGGTGTTCAGGCGCAGACACTCGACAACAGCTTACATCAGTCACATTCTGGTAAAAAGCTTCTCGGACATGCTGTGATGAAACGCCTCCTTCTGACACCATTAATCATGGTCTAGAACATCAGCTGTCTCAAATGCAGAACAGCATTATACAAGCAAGCCTCCAGTTGATGCAGGATCAGCTGAACTCTTTAGAGGAAAGGAGGAAATGTGTCAATAAAGTGCATGATATGGAGCTTGATAGGATAAATGAAAGGATTAACAGATTGGAGACACTTTCACCTGTCTGGTAATCTCTATCCACCGCCACCATTTTGGTACCAAGGACATCCACTCATCCATTACAATCATGGCGCTACGAGACCTAAGAAGAATGCCAGGGAGGCACACACTGAAGAGAGTATCGGCCCAATGCAAACACCAAATCGAAATCTACCTACAAACAACTCCGACATGAAGGATGACAATCCTAATACAGATAAAGAAGGCGCTAGTCAGCGTTTTGATATTGGCACAAATGTAACTTCGTGTGATGTAAGCAGGAACCCTGCAACCATACAAGCAACGAACCCAACTGTAAATGCGTCTTTTTTGTACCTCAGCCCTCAACAGAGGCGTGCCAGCTAGCACGAAGCGATATGCAGGTTATGATCGCGACCACTATAGCATTAGCCTCCTACAATTGTAAGAACTTTCCTAACAGTGTCAACTGTATAGAAGAACTCAGCAAGACGCATGACATCATATGTCTTCAGGAGCACTGGCTCTTTAATCACGAGCTACATGTACTCGGCGGTACGAATGCAGGTTTATGCTGGAACGGTAAATCTGTTGATGACAACAACCCACTTCCCCAACTCAGAGACCAAGGGGATATGGTGGAACAGCTATCCTTTGGAAAAATTAGCTAGATC